GAGCGCACCCCTTCTGCGGGCCCGGTCCGGCCAAGTGCGCCGCGGGGCGCTCCTGCCCCGGGATGGAGGCCGCGGCCGGCCCGGCCTCGGTCCTGTGCCTCTCCCGGGGGGCTCCCGCGCAAGGGCTGCGTCCAGCTGGGCCCCTCCCAGGTGGTGCTGACGAGCCGGGGCCTAGCCGGTGTCAGGGCTGCACCTGCGGCGCCCCGTGTGTACGCAGACTCTCCCATGCCCCTCACACCTCCTGCTGAAACGGCCCCGCGTGGACTGCTGGCGGAGAGTGTGTGTGGCCAGTGCGAGTGGAGCGCCGGCGCGGTGAGGCCGCCAGGGGTTGGCCGAGTGTGGCCGGTCAGTGAGCTCACCAGGGCAAGGTCCTGGGTCGGTGGGACTGAGGTTCTCACTCCCCTTACTGGCCTTCACCCTCCAGTGTTTGAGGCTGGGGCCTCGGGCACCCGTGAGCATCGAGGCTTGGCTGTTTCCAGGAGCTGCACCCGCCGCTCCCCAATGGGAACCTTGTTCCCGCCACCAGTGGCAGAGGCTTCTGGTGGGAGAAAGGAGGGGAGGCGGACCAGGGTGAAGCCGAATAGGCTCCGAATTGGCTCCGCCCGTCCCGACAGTGGGAGGAGGTGGCTGGGCACCGTTCTCAGGAGCATGGGCAAAGGCCCTTTGGGTGTGCTTTCTGTCCAGGGAAGGGTGGCCCCCCAGTTGCCCCGAGACCCCTTCTAATCCAGCAGTTGACTGCATTAATGCCACTACTTAAGACTTTTATCTGAAACACCTAAGACGGGAAGAGCTACAAAGAATGAATCTGAACGCCCGTGCACCCCACACAGCTTTATAAACGCCAGTGGGGATCTCTGGGGTGTTCTTGCTCAGTCAAGGCCCACCCCTCCACCCCAGCAACTCGGTTGAAGGGGCTGTTACAGCCACTTGGGAGGTGGCCTGGCTCAGTGCACTCTTACGCGAGTCTCGTGGGTGGGGGTCAAAGCCTGACACCTGTCCCTCTGGTGTATGCCAAAGTGGAAATGCATCCAAGGAGAGTGGAGCGAGGGCCTCGCCTGCTGTCCTGTCCTGACTTCTCAGCTAGTTCACTGAAGGGGTTTTTTTTACCTTCTACCTCACAGCCATGTGTGAGTTTATAATTTCAGAGTGCCATCAGAGTGTCCCAAACGTAACTATGTTACACATCTCTTAATTTCCAGACCAAGTATACACTGATTGACGAACAGGACATCCCCCTGGTGGAGAGTTACTCCTTCGAGGTGAGGATGGCGCCCTCTGCGGGCCAGATTGGGGAGGGGCGGTCTCCGGAACATGTTGTCCTCCTGCTCTGTGAGCACAAAATCTCGTGGTGAGCGGCTGGTGCCGGCTGTGGACCACGTGCGGCCACCACCTTCAAACCATGGTGTCAGCGAAGTCCAACAGTTACTGCCACTGGGTTCACCATGGACTCTCCCTGCGGCTCCCGCTGGCCGGAGACACTGGTGTTTCCCTGCATCCATTCTGGCTGCCAGCTCTCTTCCCGAAAAACAAACCAAATTCTGTCAACTTTGTGACTGAATGTCTCCATCAGATCTGTTAAAGCTGCTAATCTTTAGTAACACTCGCTGGTCTCCTGCCTTGGTCCTGCCCATCCCCCATGGGCCTGATCACCTCCCCACCCTCTGCTCACTCCACCTCCCTGCTGCTCTGGGCCTTGGTGTGATCTTCCCGCCTCTTCCCCATCGCCCTCTTCTCGTTGGACAGGCCTCTGATCTTCATCTAATGTCCGCTTCTCTTTGAAAACCCCCCAGGAGCTTGTTGCCTCACTGTGCTTTCATCTCGGTACCTGACCCTTCTTAAAGTGATTGTTCAGGGGCTTATCTTCCCCCACTGGTTGGGGGCTTTTCTAAGGGTAGGGACATCTCTGAGATCACACTTTTGTCTGCAATGCTTTGCGAAGAGTTGTGAGCATTTCTTGCTGGAGTGGGAGAGAGCGCAGTTGTCAGGGTGCGGTGTGGTGCCTGTGCTTCTGGTTGGGAAACCTGAGGACATGACCGCGTGTCCCCACAGGTACCTGGGCCCAGTGTGGACCTGGCATTTGTCCCTCCAGCTTGTGTGTTTCACTTTCTTTTACTAGGAGTAGTTTGAAACATTGCTGAGAATCAGAGGTATTGTAACGGACCTCTCCCTTGTTCCTTCTCAGGCCCGGATGGAAGTAGACGCAGATGGAAATGGTGCTAAGATATTTGCTTATGCCTTTGACAAGAACCGAGGACGGGGCTCTGGACGGCTGCTGCATGAGCTGCTGTGGTGGGTACTTGCAGCAGCGGCTGTGGCCGCAAGTACACCGGGCTGCCCTCATTGCCCACCGTGCGCCGGGTGGGTGCAGGGTGCAGAGCAGAGGTGGTGAGCAGACGGCTCCCTTAGGCTGGACCTACCTTGCTGCCTCTCAGCGTCCTTTCCACTAACCTGAAGGAGTAACTCATGTACATCTTAGGGTACTTAGCCTGCAGCTTGAAAGTCTCCCAGCCCTCAGGGAACTTGCTGCCCTGGGCTCTGACGGGGCAGGCATGGGGAGCGGGCTGCCCCTCCTGGGTGTGTGCAACGGGATCACTTGGGGGTTCCATCCGTGGCCTCTGCAATCTGGCTCTGCAGTCCAGGGAATGAGTTGCCAAGGGTAGGGACTCTGTCCTGTCTGCCCCGAACCCACATGCTGGGCTCCCTCTGGCCCAGCCCTGCCCTGGAGTGTGCCTTTTGGGGTTCTGAGGATGATTTCAGATCCTGTGGCTGGTTTTTCCTTCTGGTTAGGCCTTTGTGTTTAACGAAAAGCATTTGTGGGGTATATTTATACGACAGAATCTTAATCAGTCATAAAGACATACGAAGTCCTAATACACACTACGACGTGGCCGGACCTTGAAAACGTTCTGCAGAGAGAAGTCAGTCAGTCAGTCAGGCACGAAAGGACAGATATGTTATATCACCCTATTTACATGAAATGTCTACAACAGGCAAATACAGACCGAAGCTTATGAGTGGTCGCCAGGGACAAGAGGAAAGGGAGGGGTAAGGGGGAATCACTGCTTAGAAGGCGCGAGTTTCTTCTGTTAGGGGTGGTGAGAAATCTGGCCGCTGAATAATACATGTAAAACTATTGAAATGGCAAATGCTTTATTATACGTGTGATTACCATGCACACACAAAAAACTGTGTTTGTGAGGGCCCAGTGGGCTGCTCTTGAGCCTCTCTGTCCCTAGGGAGCGGCACAGGGGTGGTGTCGCCCCCGGCTTCCAGGTGGTGCATCTCAATGCTGTGACCGTGGACAACCGGTTGGACAACCTGCAGCTGGTGCCCTGGGGCTGGCGACCCAAGGCCGAGGAGCTCTCCAGCAAGCAGAGGTGGGTCCTCCCTGGGTGGCGACAGTGGCCAGGGTGGCGGCCCCAGACCCTCCCTGTAAGGGGTGTGTCCCCTCTTTGCACTGACACTGCTGTGTGCATTTGGATCCAATAGCATTTGGATCCAATACGGAGTCTTCCTTCATGGGTAGGAGAGGATTGTGGTGGCTGTCCTTGTGGGCTGATCTCCTGGTGACTGGCTCTGGGAGCCTCCCTTCAGCTGCTGTGACGAGTGAGGGCATCTAGCTGCGTGCCTGCAGGTGTCAGGACCAGAGTGGCCAGGGCAGGGGTAGGACTTCACACGCTCCCTCCCGAGGAGGCTGCCTGTGTGACCAGATGGAGCTTTGGTTGTGCTCTGAGCAGTGGTGGAAGGATGTAGGGGCTGTGACTGGCACAGGCCTCCCTCTTGGGGGCCGGGGCCCTCGGGCAGCCCAGTTGCCAGCCTTGCAAAGCCCTGGGAAGGGCCATCGGCCAGGTAGGGCCTGAGCCGGGGTGCCCCTGGCCCTGCCATTGTGTCTGCGCCAGGGGTAGATCGATCTTCTGCGGCCTCCTGTGCATGTTCTCGGCCGTGGGGCCTTGAGAGAAGCCTTTCCTGATTTTGGCAGCACTGACTCCCCAGAAGATAGCCGTTGGTGCCATAGATCTGGCCAGTGTCTGGATCTGTCAGCATCTCAGCCGTCCTGACTGTTGGTGGCTGTGGGAGGAGGTCCCGCGGTCACCTCCCTTGGTGTCCCCAGCAGCCAGGCGCAGTAGGGCGGGATCCGCGAGCTCCAGGAGAGCCCTGTGCGGTGCCTTGACTCCCAGGCCTCGGCTTCTACCTCCTCATGGGCCGGGTCAGAGGGTGGGGTCAGGCTCTCCTGCTCTCTTGCCTTTGCCAGTGGGTTTTTTCTTTGTTCTAGTATTATTAGCGTTTTGACCCTAAACCCCCACATGCTGCTCTAGGGTGGAGCTGCCCTTTTGATGGGCTTTTATCTTTTGGGGGATTGTGTTCATCCAGACTTCGGCTGCAAGTGACCAAAGCTGAGCTTTGTTTGGCTGAAGCTGAGCGGAGGTGCCCTGTGGCCCCTGGGGCTGAGCCGCAGCCGGCGGTGAGCATGGCGGGACCCAGGGCCACTGGCCTCTGGGTCCCAGCAGCTGCCCCCACTGCCCTCCAGTGGGTGCCCAGAGAGAAGGCGTCTGTCCCAGTGGCATCTGGGCAAGTCCCAGGACAGTTCTCATTCACTTTTCTGCTCCCTGGGCTGGAGCTGGGGGTCTTACTACAGGACATGGAGCAGTATGCCCACCCAGCCTGTTAACCCCAGCCACTCCCCAGAGGCCTAGGACATCCCTTCCAGCCTGTGTGGCTGCTTCCTTTTAACCAAGTCCCTTAAAGGTCTGGCCTCGGTAGATGGTGCTGGCTTAAGGTGGCTGTTTAACTAGCTCCTCAGCTGTCGCTGTGCAGCGCTGGCCGCTGTGAGGCCTGGACCAGGGTGGGTTGCCCGCAGCCCTGCGCCCATGGTACCCTGCATCCCCATACCCCTCAGTGCCCCGCTTCATCAGCCAGGCCCTCATCCGGGCCTGTTACTCAGACAGCACTTCCGTATTGGAATTCTTCAGTTGCGAGCATCAGACACTTAGTCTGGGCCATCAAGCGAGGTAATTTTTCTAGAAGCATGTGGGGCAACTCACAAACTCGAAGTGGCCACAGTGCCACCAGGGTCGGGAGCAGGGAGGCTGGCCTGTGGTGTGAGGCCACACACTACCGTGGCCAGGCTGGTGGGCTCCTCACTGACCTGCACTGAGTGCTCGTCTTCCTTGCCCCAAGCTGGAGTTTGAGGCAGGCCCACTGTCTGCCTGCCAGTCCCAGGCTTCAGGGAGACTGTCACAATTGAGGTGGACAGTCTCTGCTTCCGTGGCACTTGTGGTGCTCTGCCTCACGGGAAGACACAGTAAAGCAAGGCTCAGGGTCACGTAGAGATAGGTGCTCATAGGGGTTGGGCTGAAGAAACAAGGTTGGGGTGTGGCAAGCGGGAGCAAACCAGAGTCTGTTCGGGCTGCCGAGTGTGTGCTTCCTTGCAGGGAGCAGAGCTTGTACTGGCTGGCGATTCAGCAGCTCCCCATGGACCCCATTGAGGAACAGTTCCCTGTCCTGAATGTCACCCGGTACTACAATGCCAATGGGGACGTGGTGGAGGAGGAGGAGAATTCCTGCACCTACTATGAGTGTCACTACCCACCCTGCACAATGATCGAGAAGCAGGTACACCGCTTGGTGGCTGTGGCCTGATGCCGGGGTGGCCGGGGCTCTGCCATGTTGGGTGTGGTTTCTGCTGGGGGCTGTGACACAGCTTGCTCTGTCCCTGCAGCTCCGTGAGTTCAACATCTGTGGGCGGTGCCAGGTGGCCCGCTACTGCGGCTCGCAGTGCCAGCAGAAGGACTGGCCCGCCCATAAGAAGCACTGCCGCGAGAAAAAGCGCCCTTTCCAGCACGAGCTTGAGCCGGAGCGGTGACTGTGTGGCGCAGGCCCCACTGCAGCCGGACCCACGCTCGGAGCCGGGCCCTCAGGCACAGCGGACACACACTGGTGGTTGGACCTGCAGGCACCGTGCAGCCCAGTAACGCGCCCAGTGCCCCTCGTGCGGGTGCTTCCAGTGCTACTCACTCGGAGACAGTGGGAGGCCCGCAGGACGTTGTCATTATTTATATGTTAATATGTTTGTAAACTCGTGTACAGTTTTTTTGGGGGGAGGCAGTGGGAGGGTTAGAAATCACAAGTAGAATCGTTTGCTGTGATCCTCAAAACGGTCAGCTGTTGGGCCACGCGTCTCAGATGGCCTTGGAGTGGACGCTTCTCTCCCGGGCACGCAGAGTCAGCAGCGAGCAGAGGAGGGTGAGCCCTGGCGCCTGTGTGGCGCCATCTGCATGGAAATCGTGTTTACAGGCAAAGTAAAGGGGCGAGTCACGCAGCCCTGACTGCTCTCCTCCTCACCTTGTGCCGCTGAGCTTTCTGGTTGAGTCGACTTGGGGAACCTTGGACGGGGGGAGGGCCGCTGGCCTTCAGTGGATGGGGACCATTCTAGACCTGTAAGTTTTCACCTTAATTCGTGTGCAGAGTGGCC